GGGGGCCAGGGGGAGGACAGTAGGTCCCCTTCCCCCCTCATTCTTATTTAGGGCCTCCACCCACCGCTCAGGGGTGGGGGCCAGGGGGGAGGACAGTAGGTCCCCCCTCATTCTTATTTAGTGCCCCCACCCACCGCTCAGGGGTAGGAGCCGGGGGGGAGGACAGTAGGTCCCTCCCTCATTGTTATGTAGGGCCCCCACTCACCGCGCTGGTGTGGGGGCTTGGGGGGAACAGTAGTTCCCCCCCCCCTCAATCTTATTTAGCACCTCCACCCAACGCTCAAGGGTGGGAGCCGGGGAGGGGACAGTAGGTCCACCCCTCATTGTTATGTAGGGCCACCATTCGCCACGCATGGGTGGGGGCTGTGGGGAGGACAGTAGGTCCCCCCTGTCATTATTATTTAGGGCCCCACCCACCGCTCAGGGGTGGGGGCCCGGGGGAGGACAGTAGGTCTCCCCCCCACCATGCAGGGGTGGGGGCTGGGGGAGGACAGTAGGTCCCACCCCTCTCCTTGTTATTTAGCACCTCCACCCAACGCTCAAGGGTGGGAGCCGGGGAGGGGACAGTAGGTCCACCCCTCATTGTTATGTAGGGCCACCATCCGCCACGCATGGGTGGGGGCTGGGGTGGAGGACAGTAGGTCCCCCCTGTCATTCTTATTTAGGGCCTCCACCCACCGCTCAGGGGTGGGGGCCGGGGGGAGGACAGTAGGTCTCCCCCCACCATGCAGGGGTGGGGGCCGGGGGGGACAATAGGTCCCCCCCTTTATTTTACTTTAGGGACCCCACCTGCCATTCAGGGGTGGGGGCCAATAGGATTTTATTTTTATTTTTTGTAGGTAGGTCCCCCCTCATTCTTATTTAGTGCCCCCACCCACCGCTCAGGGGTAGGGGCCGGGGGGGAGGACATTAGGTCCCCCCCTCATTGTTATGTAGGGCCCCCACCCACCGCGCAGGGGTTGGGGCTGGGGGGGACAGTAGTTTTCCCCCCCCCCCCTCAATCTTATTTAGCGCCCCCACCCAACGCTCAGGGGGGAGGACAGTAGGTCCCCCCCCCCTCATTCTTATTTAGGGCCCCCACCCACCACTCAGGGGTGGGGGCCGGGGGGAGGACAGTAGGTCTCCCCCCACCATGCAGGGGTGGGGGCTGGGGGAGGACAGTAGGTCCCACCCCCCTCCTTGTTATTTAGGGCCCCCACCCACCGTGCAGGGGTGGGCGCCAGGGGGGGGACAATAGGTCCCCCCCTTTATTTTACTTTAGGGCCCCCACCCGCCGTTCAGGGGTGGGGGCCAATAGGTTTTTATTTTATTTTTATTTTTACTAGACATGCCCCTACTCGCGGTATAGCGAGTAGGGGCTGAATTTACTCATACTAAGTAATCTTTACTTAGTATTGGTAAATGTGGCTGAAAGACCAATTTAGGTCTTTCAGCCTTTTGGTAGATAGTCCCCTAATACCATGGGAATTCGGGAGTTATCTACTAAGCAGCTGCAAGATGCAGCCGCCACAATGAATAGGATCAGAGTTTCATCCATTCGAATGAAATTGCTATACGAACAAAGTCCCGAATTGCGTTCTAACATGAATGGAGAAACTATTCTCATTCTGTTAAGACGCAATTTGGCAGTTTTGTCAAACGCTTGCTGATTGGCTGCCCTGCGGCGATTTAATGGCGCATTTTGAAAAGCTGAACACCGAACTCCGAACTCTAACCCTAACTGTTACTGAAATGTATGGGTTTGGGGTCAAAAAATCGAAATGTTCGGTACGAACCCGAACTTTACAGTTCGGGTTCGCTCAACTCTAGTTATAAACTGTTTTTGCTTATATTGGAAATTACACTATACATTTTAGTGGACAGTTCTGTTTAAAAGAAACTCTTTTACAGAAAAGAAAAAAAAAACATAGATGGATTTGTTTAGTCTAATTAGAAACATAACTTGTAGCCCAAATCATTAACACCCTGCATTTGTTTAATTATTTTTAGTTAAGTTATTGTACATGGTGTTTTCACAAAACAGATTAAAATTTTCCATTGAATAATACAAATAAATATCAGCCACTTTAATATGTTTAGTTCTTACTGTAGTAATACTTTTGCCTTCCTTGTACTGAGATTATTATGATATTCCTGGCTCAGATAAACCAATCCATTACTTTATGTCAACTAGTAATCTGTAGTGTCTGTAATCAATAGGAAGGCATTCTCATCATGGCCTTCTTTTAGAAAGATACCATATGCTACTAATGTATTGTGTGCCACTGTGTGTCATCCCTTAAAGAAATGTGTCCAGTAGAGAGAATGTGTCTGAAATGCCTGAAGAATTTGTATTCCTACATGTTTTTAGGCAGATCATTTAACTAAGCGTGGAAAGCCTCTTCAACACCAAGAGTCCTTGGAGATTGAGACCATTGAAGAGAAGTCTACAAAAAGAACCACCATCACAATCGAGGACCTAACTGAGATGGAGCGTTTGGAAGATTTAGACACCTGCATGGTGAGTGACATGGGTAGTTATTTTCATTATCCTCACTGGTTGGAGATAGCAAGGTGCGAGAGGTGGTCCTGGTGTACGTTATCACTGGCACATATATTCTAAAGATTGTGAATGGTAACAAAAAACAACTTTGTTAAGCATGTTTATCTAAAAATAGTGTAATGTACACAATATTTAGAGTTTTGCTTTTTAGGTACTAAATTCAAAAAGTTTTATAAAACGTGTTTTAAAGAAATTCTGTATGTTATTTATTTATCTTTTTTGTTTAAAATATTACACACAATACAATGTGGTGAAATGCCACATATTGTTGGCAGTTTACATTAAACGTATTGTAGATTACTTGGTGTGTTATTTGCACTTTTTTACAGCTTTGTATGTCTCTGGAAGCAGTTGAGGAATTTAGTTATATAGCATATAGTAGGTGATTCTCATAGTAGAGTATCCTCTAAACAGATATGAGGGAGATCCATGGTGAGTATGCCAGCAGCTTGTCTAAGTGAACCCCATGGACAATGCCTCCCTTTAAATTATATAGTTGGCAACATCTCATTAAAAAGCATGGGTATTTTTTGTTGCTATGATCTTTCTATGTTCTGTGTTCTATGTTAAGAAACTGAATGTTTTATTGCCTTTATATGTGTAAGTTGAAGATATCTCTACAGTGAAATAATGTTGTATAACTTGGTTTCTGAAGTTGGTAAACCTAAACCAGATTAATGAGGATGCACTGGTAGTTGATGTGACAGCCCGGGCCCGCAACCCGACGCCGGCCCGGTACTTGTGTTTATGTTGGCTGATTCTCTTTTGAATACCTTAGACCACTTTTTAGAATAGAACACTTTGATAAATCTCATATCTTCCAAGTGTTCCTATTTATGAGGGATAATCCATACTTTAGCCTCAAATCTCTCTGTCCTTCTCTATCCCAATATCCCTCCTTTCTAGGTGCTCCATATTGTTGGTGTGTCTGAGTGTATAACAGAAAAATAAGAACAGCACCTTCCAACCATACAAGTGTGCAAGGAATCTGGTTCTATCCAAACCAGTATATATTCAGAAAAGTATAAAATTAAATTCCAGCAGTTAATCAGGTGCCCAAAGTGTACCGCATTTTGACTGCTTGATAAAGACCATTGAATAAAGGGATACTAATTTTAAAAAAGTGATGTAATTTTATTTTTATATTTTCCTGAGTGTATAACAGAGATTTACAGTAATATGTCTTTAAACTACAAAAAAGGGGTTTAGAAATTAGTATGTGTAAATAGGATCCAATGTTCTATAAATTACATTTTAGTTGCATAAATCATTAAGTCACCTAAAATTTCTCTGGCCACACAACCCACTGAAACCACTAAAATTAAAATCCCTCCTTGTCTATTTGGAATGTTGGGAGGTATGAAATATCCTCCCAAATGTCCTGCAAAGCCCCATTCAAGCCCCATTCAAGCAGTTGTGTTGATAGGGTTCCACTATTAGTAGTGCACTTTGCTAAATTACTGTTATAATTTCCATGTCAATATCCCACTGTTTTGTACCTTACCTTACTTAGTCTTTGCTGATGAAATCGGTTATGTCTAAAGATGTTGTTATCCTCAGTAAAACAGTCATGTAGGTAATTTCCTGAAATGTAAATTATGTGACTCTATTTCCTTATTCTTCTCTATTTAACATCAATGAGTTATTTTCACATTTTATTTTACTTAAAGTTGGAATCCCCCATGTTATGTGACACCAAGTTATTCAGTACATAATTCTTGTATAAAACAAGATCTATGACTTATTTCTAAAAACAAAAAACAAAAAAAACTTTCTCAGGTGAAACACAACACCAATATAGTTTTGTAAAAGCGTATGAGCACTGTGTAGCAAGAACAATTGACAGATATACATGATGATAAAATAGGATTCAACACAATATATTCAAGAAGTTCAGTAAATATTAGTGATTTGGATAATGATTAAGGATCATTTAGATTAAATCACCATATGGGCCTTAACTAAAGTACCCTACTCAGTGTTGTCAGCTAGACTAGCAAGCGTATCTTATTACCTTCTCCTGCTTATTTGAAATACACTTGTTTGAATTATCTTGCTCTAACCAAAATAAAGTGCACATTCTTGACATGTCTGATATACTCACTACCTCTCTTGTCTACTATACTCTTGTGGATATGTAGCTATACGCTTGTTTGCAAACACATGCACTGCAAAAATAAAGAATTTTTTTTACATGGATAATTAGATAATTCTAGATTTAGTAAGTACAAGCTTGATAATGCTTCCACCTGACCGAAAATCATTTCATCGTTTGTTTGATTATTTACCGTGTTTACCACTTAATATATTTCAAAAATGACAATAGGAGCCGCACTCAATCTTAGCAGCCACCCGGTGCTCCGGAGCAGGCCCAGCAATCCCACAATGATAAGGCAACACATGAAATTCTCCAGGCACTCAAGGTGTTCCAGCCACAGGCAGTTTTAGTAGAACAAAAAAAGAAGCAGAAACGTTTCGACCTGCTAAGAGGTCTTTGTCTAGCTTGACAAAGACCTCTTAGCAGGTTGAAACGTTGCTGCTCCTTTTTTTGTTCTACTAAACTGCCTGTGGCTTGAACACCTTGAGTGTCTGGAGAATGTATTGTGTTACAACTTAATATATGACACTTATGCAAATATATACTATATTAAAAATTTTTTTTTTCAAAATGTCATTATTTTATGTCATAATGTGGATGTGAAATATACTAATTTTTCCCCAGTTTTTTCTTTAACAAATATCTCTTTATGTCAATATACATATACCATACTGTTTATACATTGATTGTTGAAATGTTGACAAAATTTACAATTTCCTATTATTATATTAAAATATTAAAAAACATTTGAAAGAGAATTGTAGATTTAGGAGTGACACCTCATAGAGCCAGGTCCACACTGATTAAAGCGGATGTTACAGAACATTTCAAGTAATACTAGGAAATAGATTGAAATGTAGTTGAAATCTGTATCCATATATTTTGCCACTCTTTTATAGGAAACATTTAACCATTGGGCTTCGTGCATTTCATTGACGGCGTTAGAATTCTCGTGTTTTTACCATTTGTTACTGAACCACATACGTTGAACCATAAATTTTATTTTTGTGGGATTAAATGTAAATTTCTTTCACACATTGGTCTTGAATTAATATTGTTGGATAAGCATTTCAAATGATTTTATGTTTTTGGATAAAGTTTTCAAATGATTTGCTGTTATGAAAATTCTTTAAATTGTGTAATATATATATTAAAAGAAAATAATGATTGTATGTTTGTGTGGAAAAAAAAAATCAGCACTCCCAGGTAGCTTTCTTAGGAACTTATTTTACTAAAAAGTGTAACAGTCAACGTTTCAGTTTCATTCAGGAATAATTGAAGCAATAATTTGAAATGCTTATCTAACAGTATTAAATTAAGGCCATTATTTGTGTGTGTAAAAATATTCTAATTCACACTCAAGTCACCTAATTTACTGTGTGTTTGTTATGCAGTTTGATACAAAACCTCTTCATTTTCCAGGTTATTTCTAGGCTACATAAGAACAGCATGCTTTCTGAGATTGTCTAATTTGCATCTGTTGGCATTTTGACAACAACCATATGACCTACAGTGGTGCGAAAGATGCCGAGACAAAACAATGTCAGTCATTTATTTAATTACCATAACATAGTGCATAGTAGCAACCCATCTAAACTTTTTTTAAATAAATAAATGGTATGATGATCAGAGAGATTAAAATCAAGAAAACCTTTAGGTGTCTATAGTTGCCCCAGCTGTCAGTCTGAGGAGCATTACATGAGGAGAATTTGTGGATAAATACACTAATTGGGTTTAAGCTAATAAATAAGCACTTATTCCAGTGACAGATGCTAGATTCTCTACCATGCATGGCTGTATACAATATACTCTTATCGTATCCTTACAAGATATTGCTATTTCTTTAGAGAATGTAAAAATAAATGGGTTTTTTTTTTGTTTGTTTTTTTAAACCAGCAAATTTAAAAAAAATAAAAAAATATATTGTTTAAAATTATAATTTTGTTGGCGACTTCACTCATGCAATCTATAGATTTAGTTGATCGCTGGTCCATTTTGAAAGCTTCTTCACTCAGACAAAAATCGTCCGTTCGTATCTGTAGATCTGCTTATTAAAAGTGAATGTGATTTGCAATGTATACGCTACACTTTTCTTGCCTAAAATACTTTATTTGATGATTTAGGATTCAACAGCAGTTTGAATGGATAGTATGTGTGTGGACTTTTCCTTATTTTATTTTATCTAATCTGTCTTTGCTTGTTTTTCTTTGTCTTCTTTATGCGGCATAATTTCTTTTCTTGTGCTTATTAGAAATGTTTTGCACCTTTTTTCTTTTTTCTTTTTTATTCACTTCCTCTTTTTCCTTTTGCTGCTTGGAGACTCTCTGCTGTAGAAGTGTAAGTACTCTAGCTTTACTATTGTCTGCTCTCTCTTTAATCATTTAGCTTTATTCTTTCTGTGCATGCTGGATTTATATGTTGTGTCTATGTTCATTGATATCATTTGGGGTCACTGTTGCTGAACATTTTATAGAGATAATGAAGTTAAAACGCAATGAATAAAACTTCTCACCTCTGATTTTTGTATTTTTATTTTATTTAATGCAATCACCAAGGTCTGCAGTGACAAGGACGTGACTTTTTTTTTAGCCAGTCCCAAAATTGATTGAAAAAGCTACTAAATATCTTAGGAAATGCAGGTACCCTGCTGTTGTGCAAGCTCACTCATAAGTGCTATGAAGGAGCCTGTATGAGTCACTTAGCAGTTCCCTATGTGTGCACAAGTAGAGCTTTCTCATATTGTACAAGAACTTTGACCTCATACAGGTTTGAAATGGCACAGCTATAATTAGGGTTACCAGATGCATCTTGTTTTCAGGGACACATAATTTTTCTCATATTTATGAAAACGCATGAAAAGGGTTGCCCTGCAGTATGTATAATGCATATTCTGCAGGATTCTTGATTGCCTAATTACTTAATCTTATACACCTTTGAAATTCTACATACTACCATTTTCATGTGCTGCCCGTCAGTATCTACATGTGATATGTGTCCCTGAAAACATGGTTGAAAAACCCTAATTATAATGATATGGATACAGATACCTATTTGTACGATAACATATGCAGGGAGAAAAGGCCCACATTATGTAAATGTGCTTTATGTATTAATTATATTTTTTCTATTGTCTTTCAACAAGATGTCATACCTCCCTTCAGGGCCGGTGCAAGGATTTTTGCCGCCCTAGGCAAAAGTAAAGTTTGCCGCCCCCCCCGTGACATCACAATGCCCCACCCATATGACCTGCCATGTTAACTAACGCTAGTGCTGCAGTGCCGCTGTGTTTACATTAAAAGGCCTGCAGGGACAGGCTATAGACACCAGGACCACTACATTAAGCTGCAGTGGTTCTGGGGACTATAGTGTTTCTTTAATGTGAGGTAAATTAGAGATTAGTGCCACGAATAATATACTAGATTACCTACTTACAAGCAGATGAGGATGATGATGGGCTCTAGCTGCAGTCTGGCTCCACTGGTCTGGTGTATAACAGGATCTCTGGAGGCTGTTTGTAACTGTGGTCACAAAAATCAATGTTCTGGGAGAACGAGAAGCAGCTCCATTTTTTGGGGGCCCTTTACACAGCTCAAGGTCTGGGTCCCAGGGTCCACCTTCATGTTCCACCAATGAGTTTGTTCACAGGGGGTGGAGTGTGTAGGGGATGTCCTGATTTGTGTGTAAGGAATGCATTGTGTGAATCTGTGTTTGTATGTGTAAGGGCTGCAAGGTGTGTTTCTGTGTATGTAAGGGATGAAGTGTGTCAGTCTGTAAGGGGTGCTTTGAGTGTGTGTAAGGGGTGCATTGAGTGTGTGTAAGGAATGCATTGTGTGTTTCTGTGTGTGTAAGGGATGCATTGTGTGTAAGGCTTGCATTGCGTGTGTGTGTGTGTAATGCATTGTGTGTGTAATGCATTGTGTGTTTTTCTGTGTGCAAGGGGTTCATTGTCTTTGTGTGTGTAAGGGGTGCATTGTGTGTGATTGTGTGTGTGTGATGATTGTGTGTGTGTGATGGATGTCAATCTCTCCCCCCTCCCTTGTCACTCTCTTCTGCCCCTCCCTTGTTACTCTCACCCCCCACTCCCTGTCAATTTCTCTCTCCCCGTCAATTCCCCTCCCTGTCAATGTCTTCCCCCTCCCTGTTAGTTCCCCCTCCCTGTTAGTTTATTTCCCCCTCCCTCCCTGTTTCTTTCTCCACCCCCCTCCCTCCCTCTTTTCTCCCCCTCCCCTCCCTGTTTCTTTCTCCCCTCCCTCCTGTTTCTTTCTCCCCCCTCCCTCCCCTCCCTGTTTCTTTCCTCCCCCCCCTCCCCTCCCTGTTTATTTCTCCCTCCCTCCTGTTTCTTTCTCCCTCCTGTTTCTCCTCCCTTCCTCCTGTTTCTTTCTCCTCCCTTCCCTCCTGTTTCTTTCTCCCTCCCTTCCCTCCCTGTTTCTTTCTCCCTCCCTCCTCCCTGTTTCTTTCTCCCTCCTCCTGTTTCTTTCTCCCCCTCCCTCCCTCCTTGTTTCTTTCTCCTGCCCCCCTCCTTTCTTTCTTCCCCCTCCTCCCTTTCTTTCTTCCCCTCTCCTGTTTCTTTTCTCCTCCCTCCTCCTGTTTCTTTCTTCTCCCCACCTCTCTCCCCCCTCCTCCCTGTTTCTTTCTCCCCCCTCCTCCTCCCTGTTTTCTCCCCTCCTCCTTCCTGTTTCTTTCTCCCCTCCCTCTTTCTTCTCCCTCCTCCCCTACCTGTGTTGTAGCATGGCCAAGCCCAGTATAGTCGGCGGGTACAGGTAACTTTTGTTTCCTGTACCCGGCCGGACTAACAGGAAGTGCACACTCCTATCAGCCCCTCTCCTCAGGCTGCGCCCGGGCGGTGCGGTCCGCCCTCATGGACGCACCGCCCGGTCAAAGCTGCAGCCGCCTGAGGCTCTTTACAGAGCGCTCGGGCGGCTGCAGCATGGGGGGCCGGCGCTCCTGGCGGCGCCCCTTCCCAAGGGGCGCCCTAGGCGGCTGCCTAGTCCGCCTTACAGGTAGCGCCGGCCCTGCCTCCCTTCTTATTTCAATGTATGTATTTCACCATGTAATAAAATGTTTGCATAAAAATTTCTCCCTCACCCTTGGTAAACCATGTGATTGTCAAATTATATTTTAATCTCTTTTGATAGGGCTGGACTTTGCATTGTAGATAACTTGCGCATCTCTGCCACATAAGGTCGTCTTTTTTAGAGAAGTGACATCACACATGTTGATGTGGCAGTATTCCAATTCTTATTGTTTGTACCATTTCACAAACTACCAACGTTGGTAGAGTAGATATATAAAAATACCCCGGGAGTAGACAACAAAGTAAATAAAGTGACACTCCAACTCCAACCTGGAGTAACCTTCCCACAACTTTAATCTAAAAAAAGTTGTCACGTCTTTCTGTTAATTATGATAACCGCCACTTATATAGCGCCAACAGATTCCGTAGCGCTTT